GAGACCACCTCTCCAGTTGTGCCTGGGGCGAAATCTGGGGGCTCCAAAGCAAGCCGGAGCCCTTTCTTCACACACAGCCCAAGGGAGGAGAAAAGATGGCAAAACCTAGGGGCGGAGGAGAGAAAGCAGGAAGGAATAAGTTGGAGGCTGCTTCGGGGTGGGGAGAAGATCCCTTTGAAGTCTTGTTTTTGGAGAGGGAGGGAGGAAGAACTTGAGTAGGAAAGGATGCTTAAGATCTGGCTCGTACGGTCCAGGAGAAAAGCGGACAACTGGGGAGGCAAAAAGTAGGTCGACGTGGTCAGATTTTTATTTTGCAAGCCTTAATTGGTAGATAATGGGAGATAAAGTATAATAAAGAGTAATGGGAGTCACAGCCCAAAAGGAGGGAGAAATTACTTCCGAGGATCCCATCGAGCCTGCTAACCTCTAAATTAGGCCTAGATGCATTTCCATGAGCAGAGATGGAGGTTTGGATGTTTGAGATTGGCACATTGGCAGAACAACAACAGCAATAACAGTGGGTTGTTGTAGGTTTTTCCGGGCTATACGGCCATGTTCTAGAGACATTTTCTCCTGACGTTTCGCCTGCATCTATGGCAAGCATCCTCAGAGTGAGGTCTGTTGAAAGTAGGAAAATTGGTTTATATATCTTGCAGCCAAAAGGGCTGCAAGATATATACACCACAGGCTCATCAAAACACCACAGGCTCATCGGATCTATGATCGCCTGGAACACAACAGATATATAAATCCATTTCCTACTTCCAACAGGCCTCACTACCTCTGAGGATGCTTGCCATAGATGCAGGCGAAACGTCAGGAGAAAATGCCTCTAGAACATGTCCATATAGCCCTGAAAAACCTACAACAACCCAGTGATTCCGGCCATGAAAGCCTTCGACAATACATTGAACAATAACAGTGTTGATACATTGGCATATTGGCAGAACAAAAACAATAACAACAACAATGGCATTGGCAAATTGGGAAATTACTCCTGAGGATCCCATCGAGCCTGCTAACCTCTAAAGTAGGCCTAGATGCATTTCCATGGGCAGAGATGAAAGTTTGGATGTTTGGTATTGGTACATTGGCAGAACAACAACAACAACAACAATGCATTGGCACACTGGCAGAACAACAACAACAATAATAATGACATTGGCAAGTTGGCACACTGGCAGAACATTAACAACAACAGCAAAAACAATGTTGATACATTGGCATATTGGCAGAACAACAACAATAACAATGGCAAATTGGAACATTGGCAGAATAATAATGACAACAACAGCAAAAACAATGTTGATACATTGGCATATTGCCATAATAATAATAATAATAATAATAATAATAATAATAATGACATTGGTAAATTGGCACGTTGGGAGAATAATAATAAGAACAGCAAAAACAATGTTGATACATTGGCATATTGCCATAATAATAATAATAATAATAATAATAATAATAATGACATTGGCATGTTGGCATAATAATAAAGATGACAACAGGAAAAACAATGTTGATATACTGGCATATTGGCATAATACTACTACTACTACTACTACTACTAATAATAATAATAATGACATTGGCATATTGGCACATTGGCAGAATAATAATAATGATGACAACAGCAAAAATAATGTTGATATATTGGAATAATAATAATAATAATAATAATAATAATAATAATACAACAGCAACAACAACGTGTTGTCGAAGGCTTTCGTGGTCGGAATCACTGGGTTGCTGTGAGTTTTCCGGGCTGTATGGCCATGTTCCAGAAGCATTCCCTCCTGACGTTTTGCCCACATCTATGGGAGGCAGGCATCCTCGGAGGTTGTGAGATCTGTTGGAAACTATCAAGTGGGGTTTATATAGCTGTGGGATAATGCCCAGGGTGGGAGAAAGAACTCTTGTCTGGTTGAGGCAACTGTGAATGTTGCAAATGCCCACCTTGATCAGCATTGAATGGTCTTGCAGCTTCAAAGCCTGGCTGCTTCCTGCCTGGTGGGAGGTTATGAGATCTGTTGGAGTTTATATAGCTGTGGAATAATGCCCAGGGTGGGAGAAAGAACTCTTGTCTTCTTGAGGCAAGTGTGAATGTTGCAATTGGCCAACTTGATTAGCATTGAGTGGCCTTGCAGCTTCAAAGCCTGGCTGCTTCCTGCCTGGGGAGAATCCTATCTGTAGACTCCTGCAGAGGTGAGAGGATCCCGTGATGATAATGTTGGCACATTGGCAGAATAATAAAAAAAATTCATCCAGGTTCCAAGATTGGGTGGATTCTGCGAGTTGTAGTAGTTGGGGAGTTATCTTTTGTCCTTCCAGTTTTCGGAAGATGTAAGAATCTGTAAACCAGGTGCTGAGATGGAAACCTGAAATCAGCTGCCTTTTTTCCTGCTTTCCTCCCAATCCAGACAGACACAATTCGTCCTTCCTGGGGTTGTTTTGTCTCCAGGGGGAACTGGAGTCCCAGAAGAAAACCCATCAGGGAAAGAGAAGAGCAATATATCTATATATAAGGAAGGGGGAGAAAAGGGCCCATCCAAGCAAACCGGCTTTGACAAGGCAGCTGGTGTGTCTGCATGTCGGCGCCTGGCTCGTCCTGGGATGATCCCGCGCTGGAGGAGTCGGACAAAGGGACCATTCTAGATTTGCAGAATGAACACAGCGTGACGCCTCAAGGCTCCTAGGAGATGTGTTGCAGCGGGTTAAACCGCTGAGCTGCTGAACTTGCCGATCAAAAGTTTGCAGGTTCGAATCCGGGAAGCGGGGTGAGCTCCTGCTGTTAGCCCCAGCTTCTGCCAACCTTGAAAACATGCAAATGTGAGTAGATCAATAGGTACCGCTCCGGCGGGAAGGTAACAGCACTCCATGCAGTCATGCTGGCCACATGACCTTGGAGGTGTCTGTGGACAACGCCGGTGCTTCGGCTTAGAACACTAGAGTCCCAGAGTCGGACACAACTGGAGTTAATGTCTGCTTGAGGCAAGTGTGAATGTTACAATTGGCCGACTTGATCAGCATTGAATGGCCTTGCAGCTTCAAAGCCTGGCTGCTTCCTGCTTGGGTGAATCCTATCTGTAGACTCCTGCAGAGGTGAGAGGATCTCGTGATGATAATGTTGACACATTGGCAGAATAATAAAAATTTCATCCGGGTTCCAAGATTGGGTGGATTATGGGAGTTACCTAGATCAGTGGTTCTCAACCTTCCTCAACCCCTTAATACAGGTCCTCATGTGGTGGTGACTCCCAACCATAACATTATTTTCGTTGCTACTTCACAACTGTAATTTTGCTACTGTTATGAATCATAATGTAAATATCCGTAATGCAGGATATATTTACATTCACTGGGCCAAATTTGGCACAAATACCCGATACGCCCAAATTTGAATAATGGTGGGCTTGGGGGGGGATTGATTTTGTCATTTGGGAGATGTAGTTTCCTGGATTTGTAGTTCACCTACAATCAAAGAGCATTCTGACAAGGAAGGCGAAGAGGAGGACAAGGAGGAAAAAGAGGAGAAAAGAAGAGAAGAAAAGAAAGTGGAAGAAGACGAGAAAGAATAAGAGGAAAGAGGAGGAGGAGAAAGAGGAAGAGTAAAGGGAAGAAGGAGAAGCAGAGAAGGAGGAGAAAGGAAGAAGAGGAAGGAAAAGAGGAGGAGAAAGAGAAGATGACGACAGGCAGGAAAAGAGGAGAAAGAGGAAGAAGGAAGAAAGAGGAAGAAAAAGAGGAAGAAAGGAAGAAGAAAGAGAAAGAAGAATCAGAGAAGAAGAGAAGAAAGAGAAAGAAGGGGAAGCAAAGGAAAAGAAGAGAAGAAAGTGGAAGAGGAGAAAGAGGAAGAGTAAAGGGAAAAAGGAGAAGCAGAGAAGAAGGAGAAAGGAAGAAGAGGAAGGAAAAGAAGAGAGAGAAAAGGAGAGGAAGAGAAAAGAAGGGGAAGGAGAGGAAAGAAAAGAGGAGAAGAAGAGAGAAAGAAAGGAGGAGGAGAAAGAGGAAGAAGGAAAAGAGAAGAGGAAGAAAAAGAGGAAGAGGAAATGAAGAGGAAAGAAGAAGAGGGAAGAGGAGGAAGAGGAAAGACAAGGAAGGAAGAGGAGAGAGGAGGAAAAAAAAGGAGAAAGAAGAGAAGAAAGAAGAAAGAAGAATAAGAGGAAAGAGGAGGAGAAGGAGGAGGGAGAAAGAGGAAGAGTAAAGGGAAAGAAGGAGAAGCAGAGAAGAAGGAGAAGGAAGAAGAGGAAGGAAAAGAGGAGGAGAAAGAGAAGGGAGGAGAGAAAAGAAAAGAAAAGAGAAGAAAGAGGAAGAAGGAAGACAGAAGAAAGAGGAAGAAGAAAGAGAAAGAAGAATCGTAACAGAAGAGGAGAAAGAGAAAGAAGGGGAAACAGAGGTAGGAAAAGAGGAGAAGAAAGAGGAAGAAGAGGAAGGCCAAAGAGAAAGAGGAGAAGAAGAGGAGAGGAAAGAAAACAAAAGGAGAAAGAGGAAGAAAGAGGAAAAGAGAAGGAGAGGAAGAGGAGAAGAAAGAGAGAAAGAAGGAGAGGAGGAAGAAGAGGAGGAGGAAAGAGAAAGAGAGAGAAGAGAGGAAGAAAAAGAGAAGAAGAGGAGGAAGGAGGAAGAGGAGAGAAGAAAAAGAAGAAAAAGAAAAGAAGAAAGAGGAGGAGAAAAGAACAGTTGAGGAGAAGAAGGAAAGGAGGAGAAAGAGGGAGGAGAAGGCGTAGAAAGAGGAAGAAGAGGAGGAGGAGGAGGAAAAAGGAGGCGGGGAAGCAGCATCTCAAGTGTCCCGCGTGGCTTCTTTCCTTGTGAGACACGTGTACCGCGTTCACACGTGCCAGAACTTGGCCCTAATTGGCGCGCGCGCCCCTTTGGGACCGCGAGGAGGAGACCAAAAATGTGGGGAAAGAAGAGAAGGAGGCGGAGGAGGCGGGGGCAGCCAGTCCGGAGCGCCTCCCCTTCTCCTCCTCCTCCTCCTCCTCCTCCCCTTCTCTTCTCTTCTCCATCCCGGAGTTTTCCCTCCTCCTCCTCCTTTTCCTCCCTTTCCCCATTCTCTCCCTCTTCCCTCCTTCCTTTTTGGCTCGAGGAGGAGGAGAGAGAGAGAGAGAAAGAGAAAGAGAAGAAGAAGGAGCAGAAGAAGACTCCGGAGTGGCTCCTCTTTCGGGGATGGTGTAGCGATGCTGGCCCTCCTGGCCGTGCTTTGGGTCTTCACCGGAGCCGGCGCCGCTTTCGCCCAAGGTAAGCCCCCCAAGAAAGGAAGGAAGGAAGGAAGGAAGGAAGGAAGGAAGGAAGGAAGGAAGGAAGGAAGGGGACCCCCCAAAAGAAGGAGGAGAACGAGGAGAAGGGGGGAAACTTGGGAGCCAGGCGGTTCTGGGGCTTCTCCGGGAACTGGAGAGAGTGCGTTGGGGTCCGGACCCAAGGAAGAGGAAGAGGATTCGGATACATTGGGAGAAGGTCCTTGGCACCCCTCTCTGCTCCCGGTCTCACTCCGGATTACACGGGACCCGTGTAAACAGGGGGAGTAATTCGGTTCTCCCCTCCCCTCCGGAGAGAGGGGTTGGGGGCTCTTTGGGGAGCCAGCCAGCCAAAGAGGTGGAGCAGCATCATTACTAGTCTTATTAATAGTATATATATATCAATAATATCAATAAGAACAATACCATTACTATGATTGTAAACATCAGTACTATTATTATTGATATTATTAATACTCATTCATAATACTAATTAGTAATAATACCATTACTATGAGTGTAATCATCAGTATTATTGATAATACTAATTAATAATAATAGCATTACTATGATTGTAAACATCAGTACTATTATTATTGATATTATTAATACTCATTCATAATACTAATTAGTAATAATACCATTACTATGAGTGTAATCATCAGTATTATTGATAATACTAATTAATAATAATAGCATTACTATGATTGTAAACATCAGTACTATTATTATTGATATTATTAATACTCATTCATAATACTAATTAGTAATAATACCATTACTATGAGTGTAATCATCAGTATTATTGATAATACTAATTAATAATAATAGCATTACTATGATTGTAAACATCAGTACTATTATTATTGATATTATTAATACTCATTCATAATACTAATTAGTAATAATACCATTACTATGAGTGTAATCATCAGTATTATTGATAATACTAATTAATAATAATAGCATTACTATGATTGTAAACATCAGTACTAATATCATTGCTATTATTATTACTAATTGATAATACTAATTAATAATACCATTACTATGAGTGTAAACATCAGTATTATTATTATTGATATTATTAACACTAATTAATAATACTAATTAATTTATTGATATTATGAATACTCATTCATAATACTAATTAATAATAATATAATTACTATGATTGTAAATATCAGTACTATTATTATTGATATTATTAATACTCATTCATAATACTGATTAATAATAATACCATTACTATGATTGTAAACATCAGTACTATTATTATTGATATTATTAATACTCATTGATAATACTCATTAGTAATAATACCATTACTATGAGTGTAAACATCAGTATTATTATTATTGCTATTATTAATACTCATTGATAATACTAATTCATAATAATACCATTACTATGATGGTACACATCACTATTACTACTATTGTTATTGATATTGCTATTATTAATACTAATTAATACTCATTAATAATATCAATACTAATTCATAATAACAGTACCATTACTATTATTGTATTCACTATTATTTTAGTATTATAATTGATATTATTAATACTCATTAATAATATTATTAATACTCATTAATAATATTAGTAATACTCATTAATAAAATCAATACTCATTCATGATAACAATACCATTACTATTATTGTAAACCTCACTATTATTTCTAGTATTATTATTGATATTATTAATACTCATTAATAATATTAATACTCATTAATAAAATCAATACTAATTAATAGTAACAATACAATTACTATTATTGTAAACCTCACTATTAGTGCTAGCATTATTATTGATATTATTAATACTAATTAATATTATTAATACTCATTAATAACATCAGTACTAATTAATAATAATAATAATAATAATAATAATAATAATAATGCCATTACTATTATAGTAAACATCAGTTTTATTACCTCTACTATTGTTATTGGTATTATTAATACTAATTAATAATATTCATACTAATTTATATTAATACTAATTAATGATATCAATACTAATTAATAATAACAGTGCCATTACTATTATTGTAAACATCAGTATTATTACTACTACTACTATTATTGGTATTATTCATAGTAATTAATAATATTATTAATGCTAATTAATAATATTAATAATAATTAATAATATTAACATTATTAACAATAATATCATTACTATTATTACTATTAGCAATACTATATTATTGCTACTATGACTACTATTAATACTGATATTGTCAATACTAATTTACATTATTATTTTAGTTTTAATATTATTAATAATATTATTACATTATCAATGTTATTACTAATATTGATAATAATAATATTAACAATATAATATTATTATATTATTATTATAATATATTATTATATTATCTTATTATAATATAATATCAACAATATAATAATATAACTACTTTTATTATAGACTTAGTATATGTGTGTATATGTGTGTGTGTGTGTGTGTATATATATATATATATATATGATACCATTAATAATTAGATTGCATATGGATTGGGACCTTTTTGCCTCCCTTTCTTGGGGGTGGGGACTGCTTTAGGGGGTCCTTCCACGTCCCTCAATTTGGTGGATCTGGCCCTTTAACTCTCTGGAGGACCCATTCATCTTGTTGTGCATTGAGCTCTTTGGAAGCCAGGATCCTTCAAAGGGAGGAGAAGGCCAGGGCTTTCTCCCTAGTAGACCCATATGGGTCTTCCCATGGGTTTCCTCATTGGGATCAGAGCTCCATCTCCCCCCCAAAACTCAGGAGCTCTGTTGCAACCCCTTCCCTCTTCCTTTTCCTTTGGGACCATGGAACAAAACTTAGCAGCATCTCAAGAGGAACAAAAGGGGAGGGGGATGGTGGGGGGGGGGCAACATTCCCAGGCCTCTAGGCCCCGCCCCCTTTCCCCTTCCCCCATTTGAAGAGAGAGGGGGGGGGACTAGATTGGATTGGAAATAGCTGTGTTTTGTTTTGCAAAGGGGGTCTTTCCCCATGTTGGAGTTGCTCCCTGCTCCCTTCCCTCCAAGCATGCAAAACTCCAACTGGAATGTGGGTTTTTTGGGGGGGAGAGGGGGGAGATGGTTGGTGGTGCTCCATTTGGGGAAGGGGTGACATCACCGAAAGGGGTCTTTCCCCTCCTCTTTCTGCCTTTTCCCACATTTGCAGATGCCTCTCTCATCCTAAAAGATCCCTTAAAGGATGAGAAACACAGCTGCAAATTTGCAGGGGTGTTGTGTGTGCAACACCCTAAAATTGGGGGTCTTATTGAGGGGGGGTGGCGGGTTGCAACTCCAGGGAAAACTCAAGAAAGCATTGCATCTCTGGTCTCTTGATTTTGGAAACATAAATAATACTAATGGGGTTTTTTGTATGCAACCCCCCCCCCCCAAAATTGGGGGTCTTATTGATGGGGGTCTTATTGTGGGGGTTGCAATTCCAGGGACAACTCAAGAAAGCATTGCATCTTTGGTCTGTTATTGCTTTGGGAACATAAATAATACTAATGGGGTTTTTTGGGCGCAACACCTCAAAATTGGGGGTGTTATTGATGGGGGTCTTATGGGGGGGGGTTGCAACTCCAGGGACAACTCAAGAAAGCATTGCATCTTTGGTTTATTGTTGCTTTGGTGGACATAAATAATACTAATGGGGGTTTTTGTGTGCAGCTCCCCCAAAATTGGGGATCTTATTGATGGGGGTCTTATGGGGGGGGGGGGTTGCAACTCCAGGGACAACTCAAGAAAGCATTGCATCTTTGGTTTGTTATTACTTTTGGGGACATAAATAATAGTAATGGGGGGTTTTGGGTGGAACCCCCCAAAATTGGGGGTCTCTTGGGGGGGGGGGGCTTTTGCAATTCCAGGGACAACTCAAGAAAGCATTGCATCTTTGGTCTGTTATTGCTTTTGAGGACATAAATAATACTAATGGGAGGTTTTGTGTGCAACCCCCCCCCCCCAAATTGGGGGTCTTATTGATGGGGGTCTCTTTGGGGGGGGGGTTAACTCCAGGGACAATGCATCTTTGGTCTGTTATTGCTTTGGGTGACATAAATAATACTATTGGGGTTTTTTGGGTGCAACCCCCCAAAATTGGGGGTCTTATTGATGGGGTCTTATTGGGGGGGGGGGTTGCAATTCCAGGAACAACTCAGGAAAGCATTGCATCTTTGGTCTATTATTGCTTTTGGGGACATAAATAATGCTAATGGGTTTTTTTTGGGTGCAACCCCTCAAAATTTGGGGTCTTATTGATGGGGGTCTTTAGGGGGGGGGTGCAGTTCCAGAAACAACTCAAGAATGTTTTGCATCTTTGGACTATTATTGCTTTTGGGGACATAAATAATATTAATGGGGGTTGGGGTTGGGTGCAACCCCCCAAAATTGGGGGTCTCTTGGGGGGGGGGGGCTTTTGCAATTCCAGGGACAACTCAGGAAAGCATTGCATCTTTGGTCTGTTATTGCTTTTGGGGACATAAATAATACTAATGGGGGATTTTTTAAGGAGCGCTGGACAATAGGGACTATTGGGAAATCTTGACCACATGGAAAGGGAGCCATTGGGGCGGGTGGGTTTAAAAGGGGGGAGGGATGACGCAATGCAACTTCCCCTCCCTGAAAGCTTCATTTCCCAATCCCATTGTTTACTCTCCCTCTTGGTGCATCTACATTGTGGAATGAGTGCGGTTTGGACCCACTTTGAAGCACCATGGCTCAAAGCTTAGGAGTTTTACCAAGTCTTTTGCTTTCTCTGCCCGAGAGTGATGGGGCCTTGGCAAACTACACCTCTTGGGACCGGATAGCATTAAGGCTTAGCAGTTGGTGCCAAGCAGGATGGCTCTAAGTTGGCGGCAGTCTATGAAAACAGTGGTTTTGGGTGCGAGATTGCACGCCATGAGTGCACTGATTGAGATTCCGGGTTACAGCCTGCCACTTTTGGACTCTTACTTGCTGAGATGTTTGGTCTCCTTCGGGAGAGATA